GCCCCATCCTCAACCATCGTCCATGACTGATAAATGTGTTGCAATCAAGGAAACTGCATAGACATATCATAGTCAACCCCAATTCTGCAGCTTAAATCAGGGTCCAGTCTTGGTATTGAATATTTATCTCTTACCTTGGGGTATACAGTGGGAGTAGAAGGGTGAAGCTCTAGGTAAACTAGTTATCCTAATGGTTCATTTAATTCAATCAAAATTAATAATAGGATAGCTGGGGGGGCATAGAAGATAGAGCAGAAGGGGAACCCCAGACCAGCCATGGAAGCTCTTTGGCCTATCACATGTCCAGGCAGATGGTCAGGTCTGGGATTCCACTCACAACACGTAGCCAGAGCTGGAGAAGGGAGGATGAGAGGACAGAATGCTGAGACTTCGATCCTAGAGAGACCCAGAGACAGAACACAGAGCAGCAGGCCCCAGCAAAGGGACACAGGGGACAGGGCTCCAGCTGCAGATTCCAGGTCTATTGTGTAACCCCGTAGAGTCAAGTAAGGAAGGACCCAGTTCATCTAAATATAAGAGACAAGCAGAGGACAAGATACAGGACAAGAGACCGTGCACGAGGTACCCAGACCCTCTACTTGAACTGTACAAAACACTCCTGAGTTTACTATTTTTCATGCAATCTTTCATGCAAATCTTTCATGCAATTTTCAAGAACCCAGGAGCCCAGGAAGAAGTACACTTTCAGGCAAATGTGTCATGACGCGGATCCAGCACTGTAACATCAGAGAGAGTATTTTACTGTCCTAAAAGTCCTCATGTCCATGCAAACACAACATACTTTGTAACCACTGAAATATCGCAGTGGCCTTAGTTTTCTTTTTCCAAAATGTCCTATTATTGGAATCACGCTGGGTAGTCTTTTCAGATGAACACCCTTCAGTTAGTAATACACATTTAAGTTATTCTCGTGACTTGTATCTCATTTCTTTCATCGAAGTGAAGTTGCTGGGCTCCCACAGGTGGCTTATGTGAGACGGGAAGGAGAGAGATGGTCACTTTCTCCCATCTGCCTCTGCCACTCAGGGATCCAGAATGACCTGGTTCTTGCCTCGCCTGACAGAAAAGGACTTCGGGAGTAGATGAGCAATGAAGTAAAACAGATTTTACTTAGAAGTTTTTGAAAGAAGTGAGAGAGAGAGAGAGAGAGAGAGAGAGAGAGAGAGAGAGAGAGAGACAGACAGATAGAGACAGACGGAGTAACTCATCAAGAGAGAACACGGGCTTCTCCAAGGGCAGAGAAAGTCCCTATGTACACCCCAGCATTAGATATGGAAGCATAAAGTCCACATCTCAAGCGGTTGAGATGCTGTGCCACATGTGCTCGAGCACATGGGCACAAGCAGCACATGGACTCGAGGAGTATGTATGTGTCCTTCCTTTGTTCATGGTGGCTTTCGTAGGGTTTTTCCCACCTGCCTCCACGTGGGCTTTCTAAGTAGATAAGAGTCCTGGCTAGGATAGCTGCTAAAGGAGAAGCTTTGGGAGTGGTCCATGATCCTCCTCCTTGAAAACTCTTTTTGTTGACCTTTGTTCCTGCCAGAACTTCTCTCAGAGGGTGGGACCAGACTTCTCTGGTCTAGGCTAGCTAAGGGTTAATCAGATTAAATCGAGGAGTTGAGGGTTCTCCAGTAATTTCCTTCAGGCCTTCCTGTAGGGAGGGGTCCAGTATCCTGAGGGTCAGCTGCTGGAGAAGGTCTTATCAGGTCTTGCTTTCTGTATCCACAGACTTAGGACTGGTGGCTTCATCACTTCCCAGAAATTTCATTGCCATGATGTGTATGGGGAGGTGGAAGGGGGGTGGGAGTGGCATTTCCCTAATCTACCTGCCTACATTTGGAGAGCCCGGCAAGCTACCGAGAGTATTCGATATGCCAGACACAGTAACAACAAAAGTCTCCAATGGAGACGTTACTGGGCCCGCTCGAGCAAATTGACGATCAACGGGAGGGCCTTTACCTTTTACCTTTACCTGCCTACATTATTAGCACCGGGTAATAATATTAAATTTTCTTTATGGTTATTCCATTCATATACAGAAGGATGTCTTCATTCCTTCCAAGTTCTGTCAATTATGAATAAAGCTGCACATACTGATGGTAATGTGGTCTGAAGTTATCCATTTCTTTGGAGGAATACTTGAGGGATCCTACTGCTCCGTTTCAAAGAAACCATCACACTGTCTTTTCCACTTGTATCACTTCCCATTTTCATCAGCAGCGGATAGGTTCCCAAAATATGAGTTTCTAAATAATGTATTTCATTTTCAGTTGAAAGAATAATTTTGAGGAGCTAAAAGAATAGTTCAGTTGGTAGGACATTTGCCTTGCACATGGTCAACCTGGGTACCATCCCTGGCATCCCATAAGGTGCCCCAAGCATTGCTAGGAGTAATTCCTGACCACAGAGCCAGCAGTAACCTCTGAGCATAGTAGATGTGCCCCACCCCGCCAAAAAAAAACCTCAAAACAAACACACAAAATTTTTTTTAAGGAATTTTGACTGTTTTTGTTTGGTTTGGGGCCACACCCAGCTGTGTGCAAAACTTACTTCTGACTCTGCTTAGGGAATCACTCCTGACAGGCTCAGAAACCATGTTGGGGGAGGGGAGGCAAAGATTGGAGCCAGGTGGAATGGCAACCAAGGTAAGCACCTTATCCCTACCTGCAGGACAATCTCTCCAACCCTAATTTTGTCATTTTATCTGAATGCGTTAGCTTATAATATTAGCTTTTGTATAGTTTTTTCAAGTGTTATGTTGAGGAAAACATAGGGTACAGTGTGAAAATAGGCAGTATTCTAATATTTAGAAAAAAAATCCCTGGGGGTAGAAATATTAACCAAAATTTCGTCTCCAATTTATGTTTCATATATAGATTGCCCTAGTGCCAAGATGTCTGAAAAGCTAAAAGCAGCATTTTCTTTAACTGTGGTCACTCTCAAGAGCATTTGGTTAGAAAACAAAGCACTTAAAATATTAATCTTCATGGGGGCTGGAGAAATGGCACAGCGGGTAGGGTGTTTGCCTTGCAGGCAACTGACCCGGATTCGATTCCCAGCATCCTATATGGTCCCCCAAGCACCAGGGGTAATTCCTGAGTGCAGAGCCAGGAGTAATCCCTGTGCATCGCCTGGTGTGACCGCCCCCCCCCCCCAAAATTAACCTTCATGTTAATTCCTGTTCTCAACGGATTATAAAGAGCTCCTTTGACCACTTTTGGTTCAAAGTTAAAATGAGTGAGCCTGAACTAGTTAAATTATTTTCATTCCGAAAATAAGGCCAGGAAATAAAAAATAAATAATGTGATTTAAAAAAACAATTCTTGGATTTTCATATATCAAAGTTGAAAGATGCCCAGGAGAAAAATATTAAACCCAGGAAACAGGACTAGACAATTCAAGTCCCTTGTTTTAAAAATCAATCTTAGGAGGCTGGAGGGAGCACACTGCCTGTTTGCATCCCCCTGACTGGGTTTGATCCCTGCTACCCTAACAGCTCCCCAAAGCCAGCCAGGGAGTGATTCCTGAGCACAGAGTCAGGAGTAATATCTGAGCAGAGCTGGGTGTGCCCCCCATTCCCTCAACCAAAAACAACAACAAAAGGAAAGTAGTTTCTTTTATTTTATGAGTTTATGTCTTTATCATTAGAGACACTGAGTTTTTTACCAAAAAAAAAAAAAAGAAAGGTGATAGATGGAGCTTTATCTCATACATTGTTTCAAAATTCCAGGGACTCCTATGAGTGCAAAGGATCCCTTTCTCTTTTCCATCTTACATTTTTTTTATTTTGTCTTCCCCAGTGGTCTTTAGAATCTCTTCCAAGAGTTAGAAGCAGGACAGGCCTTTGATTCTTAAGTGGAGGGCCAGGGTGTGTGAGCTGGGATAGAGACCTTGATCAACCTTCCGTTGGCTTTTCAGATGATAATTATTTTGATGGTTGTTGTTTAGCTACCCTAAACCGTAATTTCTTTATTATTTTCATTGGATCTCCTTGAATTACAGTTACAAAATTATTCCTGATCGAGACTCCTACATGCAGTGTTCCAACATCCATCCCTTCACCAGTGGACACTTAATATTCTTTACAGACACTTCACAAACTAGCGTTATAATTCTTTCTTCCTTTAAAAAAAAAAACTAAATATTTTAAAAGGCTGTTTGGGAACGACTGAATTAGTCACGTCAATAGCGTGCTATTGCTTTGCCCCACTCCAGGCCCACCTAAGGAGATTTGCAGGGGAAAGTGGATCATGTTTGAACTCGGTCACGGGTCAAGCCCCTGGGCAGGCAGGTTTCACCTCCACCCTGCGACCCCGACTCGCACCGCGTGTCCCGCGCCTTGGGACACCGCTCCAAATTCCTGAGTCACGCTCCGTCGAGGTCGCTGCTCGGGGAGCAAAAGGTGCAGCGCGCACCCAAACACGGTGACGCCAAGGCGGTGAAGGAGAGGTCACGCTCCGAGGAAGCCGGCCTGGGGACTCGAGGTTCCCGGGGCGGGCGCCCCAGCGGGAGCAAAGGGCGTCAAGCAAGCACGGGACCAGGCTGCCGGGGCCAGCGGAATCCCAGGACGCCCATTTTTTTCCTTTTTCCCCAGCCACCAAAAAAGCTCCACGACCTGGAGCAAAAAAGACAGATTTTGTTTCGTCCTTGTGTTTGTTTTTGGGAAGCAACCAAAGAATCGCGAAAGAGGGGGGGAGAGCTCCTTTAAAATATTTGTGTTTCTGGCTTTTCACCTAAGATCATGGCACAAAACTCATACAAGGACATGCCAGACGGTTCTATGCCTGCATTGAACGCTGTAGCCTGTGGATTTTCTTTCCAAAAAGCGCTTCGGGAGGGCCACCCCGAGGTGGCCTCTCCCCCTCTCGGCCGCGGTGTAGCGCTCCGGGGGCGGGGCGTGGGCGGGGTTTGGTGACGTCATGTCACCTACGCGCCTCCAGGCTTGTTTTTGTGTTTCCAGCTCTCGGGAAACGCCGCTGGGATTTCTCTAACCTGTCGGTCCCTGGTGTCTCTCTAGACCAGCCGCCCCGAGACAGCCTTTCTGCCTGCGAGCTCGGCCCTGCATCCTCCTCGCGCGGGGAGCCGACCCTGCTTCCTTCTGCCCGCGATCTTGCGGCCGATTGCAAATTTGCAAGCCGGGAGCGAGCCGGGGAGAGGCGCGCGGGTTGCTGCGAGCGAGTAGGCAGGCCCCGCCGGTGGGAGTGGAGAATCTCAAGAAACCCTGCGGTGGTCCACCATGAAGTTCCAGTACAAGGAGGACCATCCTTTCGAGTATCGGAAAAAGGAAGGCGAGAAGATCCGGAAGAAATATCCGGACAGGGTCCCTGTGAGTGCTGTTGTCGCGGGGAAAGGGGCCCTGGGAGGGGGAGGGGGGTCCCGGGCAAAGCGGGTGGGGGGTAGCCCTCTGATCCTGTGCAAGAGGGAAGACCCTCGATGGTGTTTTAATCGCCCCCCGCCCTTGCCCCAACGAGAGCCGGAATCCGATGTGACAGGGGGTCTTTGGAAAGCCGCTTCCCCGGGGCCCGACCCCCCCCCCCCCCTTTCCGTGCCGACTGCATCCCTGGAGCCTAGCCTACGTACTGGAGTGACTCAGCGGTATTCGGCAGCTGTGTGGGCTGGGATGTGCTCTGGATGTGGTCCTTCTGCGCGAGGATGATTCAGTAGGGAGCATGCATGAATCTGCAGCCCTGAGGATCGCAGGGAAAATTCTTGCGGGGCTTAGGTGGGAAGAAAGGGCCCCGGGGTCCCCTCCCCGCTGAGATTCCTGCTTTAGCTTCTGCTTCCTTCATCTAGGAGTTGACTTTGGCTCTCTGCGCAGGAGGTCGGGGAAGCTCCGAAGCTAGTAAATTCTTGCAGTATTTGGGATTAGGAAGGGCGCAGGGCGCCAGGTCTGGCCTGGCCTGGCCCAGAAAACAAGGTCACATTCTCTGCGCAACAGCCCGATTGCCTCATCCTGGGTTCCGCTGGGCGCGTGTGGGGGCAGCCGGCCTTGCTCTGCTACTTATTCTGCTGCCCAGCCTGAACCTGGATACAGTCTCGAAGGGTCGAGGTGGTCTCTCTTTAGTAGACCCTGAAGAATGCGTTTAAAACTAGTGTCAGCGGTGCAGGGGAGCAGGAGAGAATGAGTAAGAGGGCTTTTTGCATCCGGGTGTTTGACCAGCCGCCCCAACCCCCTCCCTGCCTCTTGCTTGTTTTTTTTTTGTTTTGTTTTGTTTTGTTTTGTTTCCTTCTGATTTAGACCAATGTTACTGGGCCCGCTCGAGCAAATCAATGAACAACGGGAGGATAGTGACAGTGACAGTGGTATAGGTAGACCAGTTGGAAAGGCTGAAGATTTCCAGGGATGGAGAAAATCGCCACCGTTGGGTGTGGGAAATGGAGAAGTAGAGACATTTTTTTTTTTGTGATCTTTTCTCTTCAGACAGGGACTTGAATATAAATTTTCCCTTTGATTGACAGGTAAAGGAATTGTGATTGACTTGTCTGGACTCTTCTCCAAGTGCTCAGTTAACAGAGCAACCTTGGATTTTGGCCAGCAGTAGAAACCTCTTGCAGTCCTTTTCCTGTGAGGAAGAGGAGGCATTAATTTGGTCCATTTCATTCACCAAGGGTTGCACCCTAATTAGAGTTTGGGCCCTCCAGGAGAGCTAATACTCTACTCTCTAGAGAAGACATCGTAAGTTCCTTCCCTGCTCTCTGGAGAAAGGGCAGCTGCCTGAACATTGCCCCTCCCTCCCCAGCCCTCCTTTTTTTTTAAATTTTTTATCTCGGATAAAAGATAAAATCTAATCATAATCAGCTCTCAACTTTGATTGTTTCTGTATCCTTCACTTCATTCTTGCACTATTATAATGTCCACCCCACAGATGAAAGATTGGAAGCCTGGAGAACTGAAGTAATTTTAAAGATTTTAAGTTGCCGCTGTATTGCCCAGAGAGGATTGGAGCCCTGGCATTTGAGCCCTTCAGGCCTTATTTCTAAGGTTCTCCATTTCTAACACCGTTTCCTTGAATAGAATGAATGAATTAAAAGTGTCCTGTGTGCCTTGCCCTGTTAGGTGTTGTCACACTTGAATTCCAAGTAGCACGGTGGTAGAGAGAGAACCAGCAAGCTGTCATCTGCTCAAAATTTGGTCAGCCTTAGGCCGAGTTCTGATAGCTTTGCATGTTCCCAAATGTTGTTGAGACTCCTATGTTTTTCTTTAAAACTGAGCCTTTCCCATTTCAGCCAAATATACACATGGACCCAGAATATTGTGATCTATTTCCCCCTCCCGAGTCTATTCCTGCTTCTTGTTTGCTATTAAATTTTTGAGTTCTGTGATAAATTGTAAGCCATTATGACCAGCACTCCTGTGTCCTGGTGCCTCCTGATGTTGATTTTTTTTTACAGAAATACTTTTAGTGGCTGGAGCAATAGTATAGGTCATTTGCCCTGCATGCAACTGACCTGGGTTCAATTCCCAGCATCCCATATGGTCCCTTGAACATCGCTGGGAGTGACCCCAGAAGCAAAAAAAAAAGAAAGCATACACACATCAACAAAAGTATTTTTTAGCTCCTAAAAGTCTTCCAAGAGCTTCATATGTGCTCAGTCTCTTATTTTATTTTTTTAATTGCGATGGGAAGAAGAGCTTTGGTTCTGCTATCTGAGATTTACTTCTAGCTCTGGCCGGAAACTTTAATCTTGCTGGGCTGATGTGCCCTCCGCAGAAAAAGTTCCAGTCGCTGGCCTCAGAAGTTCTTTCCAGCTGGACCATCGGTGTCCATGAAGCAGGAGTGGGTGCTGGAAGGCTTTCCTGACAGCCCCCACTTTGCAGAAGCGCAGATGAGCGGGCCACGTTTCCTGATTCAGGAGAATCAAGATCTTGGAATTCAGAGCTGCAGTGTGTTGAAACCCTGCCACACAGCAGGAAACTTTTAGGAATAGGTTGGCCCTTTTTCAGGTTTTGTGACCACCCCCTGGAGTATTGGCCACATTTCACAGATGAGGAAAACTGAGAACCAAACAGACAGAGTGAGTCCTGGCCGAGGCCCAGGCTAAGTGAGGGCCAGCCCTGAGAGCCCTGGAACCAACCTAAGGATAAAACTAAGGGGCTGAATTCCCTCCTCCCTCTTAAATTCTTTCCACATCCTCCCTTGCTCTTATTTTTGCATTCAGCTTCATTCTTCGCTGCTTTTCCGTTTCCACCCTTTGTGCTTCTCTTTCTTGGGCACAACTGCCTTATTTGGAGTCCCTGTAACGTTCTTTTGATCTTGCCAACCTGCCACTTTCTGTGCATCCTGAATGTTGGGCGTTCTTGATCACTCCCTGAACCCCTTCCTAGTTGTGCTTTTTTCATTTCTGATTTTATTATGTTTCTTCCTTGAGGGGATTATTTTCCTTTAGTCTAGCATTTATTTTGAAAAAAAAATTTTTTTTTTGTTTGTATAAAATTTTTTTGTTGTTGTTCTGGTTTTGGTTTTAAGCCCCAGCAGTACTCAGGGCTTACTCCTGGCTCTGTGCTCAGGGATCCTTCTGACGGGGCTGGAGGGGTTACATGTGGTGCCGCCAAGTCAAACTTGGGTAGGGCCTGTGCAAGGCAAGCGCCTTACCCACTGTGCTATCTCTCCGGCCCCTACTTTAAAATTTTGAGTGTGGTCATGTCCCTCTGGTTTCCCAGTACAGAATCCTTTGTCTCCACAAATGTAAGATGAGGTTTTAAAGATCTGCCCCCTCATTGCTTTAAAAGTTTCAAACCTTTTGCTCTCAAAGTCATGCCTTCCTGTTTAGAGATGTCTTTAGAGTTAACACATCTTGACAGAGATGTTTCATGCCTGACTCCCCTTGGCCATACCTGTACCGTGGCTTCCTGAAAGAAGATGTGGGATCAGCTTCCTTTGACTCACTGGAATGCTGAAGTTCAGAGAGGGTCTGTGACCTGTTGAAGTCACACAGCTCTAGGGGATACTTGGGCAGTGTTGTAGCTCTGCTTCCTTAACTTTTTCCTACTTCCCATTTCTTCTGCCTAGAATGATGATTTTTTTTGGGGGGGCGGGGGTCACACCTGGTGATGCACAGGGGTTACTCCTGGTTCTGCACTCAGGAGTCACCCCCTGGTGGTGCTCAGGGGACCATATGGGATGCTGGGAAGTGAACCCGGAACGGCCGCGTGCAAGGCAAACATCCTACCCGTTGTGCTATTGCTCCAGCCCCCTGATATTTTCTTTTTTTTGGGAACTTGCATTTTATTTCCGAGTGTTAAAAGCAATATTTTAAAGGGTGATTATAGTTGAGGGCACACGGTTACAGGACTGTTGACGTGTGTGGTCTTGATAAATGTTAAAATAGATCAAAGTGAAGCATACTGTCCTGATAGATTCAGTTTCTTCAGCTTAACACCAACAAAGTGACTAGGACGCCCAGCCACTGTCCTTTTTGTCACTGCTCGGTCACACACAATACCCCCTTCTCCCAGAACCATCTGGTACATAGAGATATAAAACATGGGATAGGTAGTATCAGATGGTGAGGTTATTGGTACTTCTTCTTTCTCAACTTTGCTGAATGTGATAACCTCTGGCTCCATCCAGGTTGCCCTGAATTGTAAAATTTCACAATAATTGTATTTTCTAAAATTTTAGAGTAGACTTGAGATTTATAAACTATGTTTAAATTACATAATGCTCTAAATTAAATTACACATAACATATTGTATGTATGCATATATGATGTAATGCTTTAAGATACTAATAATTTATATATTATCTATGTTATAAATGTATGCTAATACCAACATTTTGGCAATAGCTTGAATTTATTTAAGTTGAGTTTAAGGGGCCAGAGCAATGATACAGCAGGTAGGGCATTTGCCTTGCACTTGGCCCACACAGGTTCGATCCTTAATATCCCATATGGTCCCCGAGCACCGGCAGGAGTGATTCTTGAGTGCAGAGCCAGGAGTAAACCCTGAGCATCTCTAGGTGTGACCCCAAAATCCAAAAATAAATAAAATTGAGTTTAAAATTTGAGTATATAGTTTTTTCAATGTATTTGTATTATAAAGATCTTGACTTTCTACACCTTCATTTTTTTTTATTACAGAAATAATTAATATAAAACTTGAAGTGACTGTTGAAAATTCTGGCCTAATGTAAAATTTACGCCATACTGTCCTTAATAAATGGCATAAAAGGAAGGAATAAATAATAGTAAGGGGTTCTCAGGTCATCTGAGAAAAGTTTTTTTATGCTCTAAATAAATACCAAAAAATAACTGCCTTGTAGTGGATCTTATATAAGAATCTGTCATAACTTAAAAATCAAGGTTCGCTTTTCTTTTCATCCAATGCCTTCTCTGTCATCTTTTAATTACAGTAATAAAATTATTCCCTTCCTAGGGAAGCCCATGGCCGATGTATCTTGTTAAGAGGGGAAAAAAAGGGAATTAGAAAGTAGAAAAGATTTGAGGGGAGTCTAGGCAACTTCAATAGGGTAACTATAGGATATGAAAGGAAATTTACGCTGGTGGCTTGATTTCTGTTCTCCTCCCTTCCAGGTGATCGTGGAAAAGGCCCCTAAAGCCAGGGTGCCTGATTTGGACAAGAGGAAGTACCTGGTGCCCTCGGACCTCACTGGTAAGGTACTTTCCTACCCGACCTTTCCTCCATGACTGAGCCTTCCTGCTTGTGTTGGAGAGAGAGGCAATAGAATTGAAGAGTATGGTTCTCCAGAAAGTTTCATGATTAAAATGTGGTGATATGCTAATTTTTTGTCCATCACTGGGTTTCTTAAGGATTTCCTATCAGTATCTTTCTTGATTTTATAAAAGTGAGGTAACAGACATGGAAAAGGGGGACCTGATAATCCGTCACATAAAGCAGTTCAGACTCAGCTTTGTGATTGTGACATACGTTTATTCCAAAGGGAAATCCAAGCTAACTTCTTGGGACGGTCACATTTTAGAGAGTCAATGCTTTGTTCCCTTAAGTGCTAGATTTTGGGTAATGCATTTTGCAGCTTTTATTTGGCACGGCAGAGAACATGTCTGTGCCTCACCCTGATCCTTTATGGAATAATTGCAATATCCAGGTGACACTGGACAGACACTGAGAGTTTTGTTCCAGAATTTCTAGATTTGAATATCAGCCTCCTAGAACCTTTTCCAGAAAGTTCTGTTCTATAAAAGGCAGCCCATTGAACCACACTCATTGCTGAAATGCTGAGATGAGTGAGCTGCTAAGATTACCGTCTAGATGACCTGTCCAAGGTCATCCATCACTGGTTTGTCTTTGGGCAAGAAGCAGGAGGGAAGTGTGTTTCAGACAAATAGACAGTGATAGGAATGTTTTGGTCTGGTATATCCCAGACCAACTCTGTGGTCTGAATATGCAGAGTATATTCTCTCAAAGCTTTTAAGTGGCTAACTTGAGTTCCAGAAATGAGTAAGGTAGATTAAGACCGCTCAATCACAAAAAAGTGATTGAGGGATTGAGCCCTCGGGGCTGTCTCTGGGGCTGTGGGAATATCCAGGCTTCTTTGAGTGTTCACATTATGTATTGGCACAGTTCTGCTGCTAAATAAAGCTGGGAACTTTCAAGGGAACAGGTGCTGCAGGATTTTTTTTTCAGGGGTTAATCCTCCTGCTAATCCTTTGTTTTCCTCATTTTTGCCTGCCTTTTCCCCAACCTTTGTCCTGTATCCAGTTGGCCAGTTCTACTTTTTAATCCGGAAGAGGATCCACCTGAGACCTGAGGACGCTCTCTTCTTCTTTGTCAACAACACTATCCCTCCCACTAGCGCGACCATGGGCCAGCTGTATGAGGTAATGGTCCCCGCCCCAACAATCTTGGCCAGTCTGACCTTCTCTGGCTTTTGTTCCAGGGCCTGTTGATAAGGCACCTGGGAAGTGGGGCAGGAGGTGTTGTTTTCTGAGGTGCTCTTACTTGTAGCTGAGTGAAGCTCTGGCAGATTAGATATCACTTGTCCTTTCGGAGTTCAGTGGCCTTTTGGGTCCTATCTCTCTGAATTCATTCTCGGACCTCCAACGGTGCTTTAATGCTAAATCCTCTGCTTTGAAACAGCAGGAAATGGTTCCCGATTGGAAAAAAAAAAATCCAAGTTAAATGAATTGTTCAGTTGAGGCAGACATTTGAAATCGATCCATTTTTTATTTTTATTTTTTTAGCAGATAAGTCTCTGTGGAAGAGAATTGTTTTTTGATTTAGATAGTTAGTTGTCAAAATCTAGTGAGAAAGTAAAGGATTGTGTCTTTTTTATCACCCAAGATTGTAAATATATTACTCTCTGATGTCACTGGGAACTGCTTCTAAGCATGCCCTAGGAATGAATTGTGTGATCTTTCATTCCGTAACATAAATTTCCTGTTAGTATATATGTTCCAGTGTATACATTTTCCTTTCGCCTTTCTTTAGTTAAAGGGCTAGACTCCTCCAATTGTAACCACATTCCTGCCCCTTCAGACTATGATGTTTTCTGTGAAAGATTGTGCGTTTTCTGGAAAAATTTGTAACTACCATACCCAAACTTTGCAAGACCCTGTGAGGTTTAGAATCTAGAGCCAACCGCTGATGGGATTCTCCCAACTCTTGCTCTCATCTCTCTCCATAGGACAACCACGAGGAAGACTATTTTCTGTACGTGGCCTACAGTGATGAGAGCGTTTACGGGAAGTGATTGGCGGAAGCCCAGCAGATTGGGAGCACCTGGACTCGGGGGTAGAGAAGGGGGGGTGTGTGGGATTTGGGGGACGAAAGGGGGGCTCCCACCATGGAGGAGACAGAAGGTGAAGACATCTGGAAACACTATACCGCACACACCGTCATCATATTTTTACATGCTCAATTGATAGATTTTGCTGCTTCCTCGGCCCAGGGAGAATGCAGGTCAAGACAGAGCTTTGGGGTTGGCTTTGCCAGACGACGGAAGGGGGGATCAGACCTCTCAGTGTGGCTGTGATTTCATGGAAGAGGCAGGTGGAGGGCAAGTTGGGGCCAGAGATAATTGCGGACCACCAATTATTTTCCCGTTCTCCTTACTCACGGGGCAGATTTTCTCCCATCTAATTGGCACACACCCGGTAGAGAAAAGGGTTGGGAATGTTTTAGGATTCCAAAGAGGGGACCATACTCGGGGACCAAAAGAGACTGTTGTCACTAAGGCTTTCTGAGCCCTGATCTTTCCCCATCCGCACACTCACTCCCCCTCATCTCATTCAGAAACTCCCACACAAACATCACAGTTACCACTTGCTCTGGGGTGGGGAGGGAACATCCGATACCCTTGTTTCCATGGCGCTCTCTGAGCTTTTGGAAAATCCTAGACCAGGCCCAAGGGATGTTACGGTTAAGAAGATGGTTTTGGGCAGCTTTCAACTGGAATCCACTCAGTATTGAGCATCTCTGTCTAGCCTGCTCACTCCCTGAAGGCCTTTCCCTCCACACCCACTGGGACCAGAAGGAGCCTCAACCCTGTCCCAGCCCAGGCTGTGGCCCCTGCTCCAGCCTCGTCCAAACGTCCCTAGGGAGGGACAAACATCTTTTCGGTAGGGGAGGGTAGATACGGGGTACAGCTGATTTAGTCTTGTCCCCACCTCCCCCCAGTCCAGAATTCTCGCTGTTTCTCCCCTCCCCCACCCCCTCTTACTGTTTTCCCTTCTGTCTCAGACACACAGAAACGCTAATTGATGGCCAGCTGCTTCCCTCTTGTGATTTTTCTTTGACCGCAGCTGCTAGTTAGGCAAATTGAAGAGGATGCCTTCCACCCCCCCATCCCCCACCCCTCACCCCCAGTAATTCAGGGGATTCTGATTATTTTGATCATTTTTCACTTTACGTAGGGGGTATGGCATGGGCGGGGGTGGGCGCAGGAATTGCACACGGGCCTGACATTTCCATTCATCTCTGCTCAAGGAAAGGGGTTCACACAGATGGGGGGGTGGGAGGGGACGCTGTGTGTCCGTTTCATCTGCGGCAGGTTCCTGTATAATGAAGTCAATGCTGTCAGGCCAAGGAAATAAAATAATTGCATACTTGGAAAACCCAGCCCGCGTGCTGTGGCGTGGCTTTTTATTTAACGGTCCTGGACTCATGGCAGATGGAGCCAGAGCAGGAAACTCGAGTGTGGGGGTGGTTGGAAGGAAAGAACTTTCGCAGATGGTCAGACAGACACGTGGCCCAAACATGTTAATTATTGAGTTTGTGGTGCTGGGATGGAGCCCAGCACCCCCAGCACAAGGTTGGGGGAAGAGGGGCGTGGAGGTGTCTTACTACTGAGTCTCTGCCATGAAGTACTCAGGACTTAGCACCTTCTGGTGAATGTGGAGGTGTGCAGTGCCGCGTTTCTGGGTGGTGGGTCACGAGATCTGATCCTTGGCAGATCCCTGGCTTTGCTGCTACCTTCAGTGTTTATACTGGAAGCCGGAGAGTGTGCACATTTTTTTAATATATATATTTTATTTTCATAAAAGTACTTCACAGTAGTTCATTACAGATAATACTCAAACACCAATCCCACCAACGAGCACCTTCCCACCACAATAAGTAACTGTGGGGGCTGGAGAGATAGCACAGCAGGTAGGGTGTTTGCCTTGCATGCAGCCGACCCGGGTTCGATTCCTACCATCCCATTTGGTTCCCTGAGCACTGACGGAGTAACTCCTGAGTGCAGAGCCAGGAGTAACCCCTGTGTATCGCTAGATGTGATCCAAAAAGCAAAAAAAAAAAAAAAAAAAAGTGTGTGAGGGTTGTTGTATTTTATTCTGGAACTATTTGAGCCTGAATATAAGAGAGTACAAGCAAGTCAGTTATAAACCAAACAAATGTGTGATACTTTTGATAAGTAAGTGAGGAAGAGTATAAGAGGTCATGTGGCCACAAATGCAGTCTCACACTCTGCAAATTCTGCAAGAGTGCCCAACATCTTAAAGTGAGGATGGGGCCTTGGGGGGGTGCTTATTAGAAATGCACATGTCTAGCTCTTCTCCCAGATTTAGTCCAGTCTGGACCTCGGCGTAGGTGTCTGTGCTTTGACAGATGTAGGTGTCTTCTGGGGCCTGGGTTTGCTGTGGGACCCGACCCCTCCTGTTTGCTCGTCGGTGTCTGGATTGGAGACCCTCCGTGGAGCAGCACAGGGAACTGAGATCCAGCTCAGGGGGTCAGTACAAACTGCCTCATCTTCTGAAGATGAGGGCCTTCCTTTCAGCTGAGAGCCCCGTGGGTGCCAACTAGGAAAGGAGATACGACGGCTTCAGAAAAACTCTTCTTTCCTTTCCTCCCATCTCGAACTGTCTGAATCTTTTGTAGTCATAGCCCCAAGTCTGCTTCTGTTGGTAAGAAAGGAAACAGAACAGATCCACAGATAGGCAGTAGCCAGTCCTCATTGGCCTATGGCAGGAACCTGTCTACCACCCACAGCCCACCCTGCTCAGTGAGGAAGGTAACTGAGGATGAACAGGGAAGGAAGCTCAAATTCAGCAACACATATAGAAAATGGCAGGTGGGGTCGAAGAGACAAAATAGGTTGAAGCGTTTGCCTGGAAGTGACGGACCCAGGTTCAATCCCTGGCATCCCATATGGTCCCCCAAGCATTGCCAGGAGTGATTCCTCAGTGCCAAGCCTGAGCATTGACAGGGGTGGCCCAAACACCAAAACAAGAAAAAAAACATGAAAACGAAGGAAACCCCTAGGGAATCTTCCTATGACGTCATCACATTGACTGGATACCCGTTCCCCGAGCACCACTGCCGGGTATGCCACCCTTCCAAACAAGAAGTACTCTGTGCCCTGCAGGTACACCGTGTCCAAGGCTGCTGCTCACCCAGTTCCAGCAGAGACTAGGAGAGCAATGCTGTTCCTAACCAGCTGATTGATTGGCTCTATTTTTCTCCCAACGCAAGTTTGTTTTGTGGACACTTAAAAAAAAAAAAAGGGTTTGTTCTTTATTGCGAAATCAGAGGTGGAGATTGCCAGAGAGCAAAACAAACAGTGGGTCAGTTCTGACCAGAGGGAACCAGGTGGCCAGGTGTGCCGCCAGCTGCAGATCCAGGCGCTGTGCTGCCTCACGTTCGCCCTGCCATGTGGTGCCCGGTCTGTGGCCTGTGGCCTTCGGACACCACGGTCAGTTCTTGCCAGTGTCACTTATCTGGCATTGATTAGGCACACAGTTCTATGCGTTATCTGTTGTTCCCTAAATTAGTTGGTCTGTGAGCTTTTGTGTCGGGGCTAGGGGTGTGTGTGTATACATGGATAGAGCAAATCACTTGTACAGATGAACAAATGCAATCCCTCCTTCCCTCCCTCCCTCCCTCCCTCCCTCCCTCCCTCCCTTCCTTCCTTCCTTCCTTCCTTCCTTCCTTCCTTCCTTCCTCCCTTCCTCCCTCCCTCCCTCCCTCTATCCCTCCCTTCTTCCCTTCCTCTCTTCCTTCCTTCTTCCCTTCCTCCCTTCCTCCCTCCCTCGTCCTTCCCTCCCTCCCCTCCTCCTTCCCACCCTCCCTTCCTTGAAGCAAGAAAAATTGAAACATTTAGAAAGCTGTGAAGGGAGAGAAAGGGGGAAAGTTGGAGAGAGAACACAGGCTTCTCTAGAGTAGAAATAAGCAAGGAAAATATCGAGACAAGCTCGAAAGAGATGTGCTCCAGGGAGAGCACAGTGTGAGGAGCAATCTGCAAGTGCATCATTTCTGCAGTATACGCTACTTGGATCAATTCTGTGTAGGTCTGAGACTGCAGCGCAGTCATCAACCTCTTCAGTGTCCTCTGACACACTTCTGTGCTTTTACTCTCATAGGACATTGCCGTGTCTGTCCTTTTTTTTTTTTTTTTTTTTTGACTGCTGGGGACCACCAAGTTTTATTTCAGAAACGAACCCATCTTCTGTCGGACCCAAGGGACTCTGCATCCTGTACTTCCAAGCGCCACGCCGAGTGTTTGCTCCTTTCCTTGCCTACCACGCAACTCCCCGCCTAAACTTGGCAGTGCTGGCGTGCAGTTCAGTCAGCTCAGCTCATGGCACAAATCCTGTGCGTGACTCAGGCTTCCATCACTTTCTTTCCTTGGCCATTCTGATGACTTTATTTTAAAATTAAAGCAGCACCGTCCAATTTTCCCTCATCAAAAGCTGGAGGCAGAGAGACTGCTGGTGTCAGCTCTCAAGTGCCCTGGTGCAGGCGTCCGTGTTTGTTTTTCTTGGGTCTAGTTATGGCCAGCTGGGGAGGCTGTGAAGACATATGCCCAGATGGTTGACAGGGTTTGAAGTAACAGGAAGTGAGCGTGCCTCCGGGCTGAATGCCATGTCAGCCTGCCTGCCTTCACAGTGACTAACCTGAGTCTCCATCCTGGTGTTTTCCACAGTAGGGACCATCTGTTTGGACAGTTCTGGCTCCAGCACAGCGATAGAGCTGAGATCCTGAGGAATTCTGTTTAGAGCTACCGGGCACCTCACGTTGGCATCAACTGATCCTGAACTCTTAGGAGAGGAAGGGGCCAAAATACGATGTTTGCTGATGTTTGCACTTCTATTAGGCTCTAGGTTGCCATGCATCATTCAGGAAAAAACAGAACAATTAAAAAAAGAAACAGGATGATTGCTTATTCCTGCTGTTTTGTAAATGAAAAAATACTGCGCCACATTTTGTGTGCTAACTTGCTATCTTGGGGCTGGAGTGATTGATAGCACAGCGGGTAGGGTGTTTGCCTTGCACGTGGCTGACCCGGGTTCTATTCCCAGCATCCCATATGGTCCCCCGAGCACCGCCAGGAGTAATTCCTGAGTGCAGAGCCAGGAGTAACCCCTGTGCATTGCCAGGTGTGATCCAAAAAGCAAAAATAAATAACCTGCTGCCTCCTCCCAATCTTGGCTGTCTCCTCTGAGCACCCTCTTAGATATTTCAGAAACCCCCACCTTCTGTAGCACTGCACCCACTGCTCTTTGTCCGTTTCAAAGACTGATCACCTTCTGACACCGTTTTCCTCTATGCATAGTCTGTCTGCTCTCATTAGATGGTCAGTTCCCAAAAGATGGGAAAACCACACACTTAGTCCAAACAGAACACTGGTTTCAGGTTGATGCCCCAAAGTAATGAAAGAATGATACCTTGGATAGGTGTAAAGATTTTATTATCAGGACTGGGCAATGAAAAAAACTATATTGCCCATTAAAGCACAGATTAGAAAAGAACCATTCGAGGAATTTGAGGACACTTTGGAGCTTACTAGAAAGATCTAGAGTAAGGGAATAGTCCTTCCATCCCAGATCTGCCACTGAACTGGAGCATGGACCAACTTACATTTTCTTTACAAATGAAATTGGGGTCCTTCCTGTTAGGTATAATATTACATTGTAGGTGGTTGTGGGGATTATGTTCTTTGCAGTTTATTAGCTAACACAAGTGCACATTAAGAATATTATTTTCATTTACATACAAGTGGTACTACATGGAAAGTATCATGCTAAGCGAAATGAGTCAGAAAGAGAGGGACAGACATAGATTGCATTCATCTGGGGGAATATAAAGTAAAAAACTGGGAGATTAACACCCAAGAACAGTCGAGATAAGTACCAGGAGGTTCACTCCATGGCTTGGAGGCCAGCCGCACATGCTGAGGGAGAAGGCAGCTCAGGTAGAGAGGGGAGTACCAAGTAAAGAGTGTTGGGAGGACCCTCCCAGGATGAGAGATGCATGCTGAAAATCAAATATAGACCGAACATGATTGCCACTCAATGCCTCTTTTGCAAACCACAGCACCCAAAAGGAGAGAGAGATCAAAAGGGAATGCCCTGCCACAGGGGTGGGGTGGAATGGGGGGTAGGGGGGTGGGAGGGAGGCTGGGAGCATTGGAGGTGGGGAATGGGCACCGGTGGAGGGATGGGTACTCAATCATTGTATAACTGAAACCCAAGCACAAAAATTTGTAAGTGTACAACTGTACCTCATGGTGTTTCACTAATAAAAATTT